GACTTCCGATCGCATTTTGCGTGTAGAAAACATTTCTTTTCATAAACTAGTATTATGTTTTTAAAAATCCTTTCAGTCTAAGTAATTATATAAATAAGTTTTTCTTCATTTTGATAAGTTACATAATCTGTAAAAAAAAAAAAAAAAAAAAAAAAAAAAAACAATACCTTGTATTTATTTCATTCTTAGTTTTATTTACATCGCCAAAGTCACAGATGCTATTTAATTTCCACAACTTTGGTTCAAACTCAACCTATTTACAACTATTGCGCAATGAATTCGTTCTCTGCACATACATGCTGTACGCAGGAAGCCTTGTGCATCACCTGTCAATCAAAATCGCAAGACGCTATGTGACCTTGAAAGTCTGTTTACGCGGAAAGAATTTCTCATTCTGATGGTCAGTTCAGAGTTCACACCTTTTTAAAAATATTGGGCCACAGCCAGAGGGTCGGGGTGCCGTGTATTTAACACACCTTTCAAATTATTTAGCTTTGACTACATCAAGTGTACATGCATTTTTAAAACTCATTCAACTGACATTCAGCGAAAGACATCTACTTCCTAAAATGTCCCTTTTCAGACACAATTAGATAAGGTGAATCCATTAATTATCATGATAGCGTCACATAAATTCGCAGACTTTTGATGAGTTTTAACTAGCTAATTAGTATCGCCTTATAGAAAAGGGGGGGGGGGGTAACAAACATAATGTGGCCCATAAGAGGTTTGAGAAAAATCATTGTATTTTTTTATTTTCATTTTATTTAAGTTATCCTTTTTTCAGACACAAATAAGCATGTATCCTGTAGACTATGATTTTTATTAGTCAGACTATATCCGTTCACTGCATGTAATATCGCAGTACAGTTAAGGCAACATTTTCTATAAAAAGTCACGGTATCCGATACATATAATGTTTAACAGTTTTATTTTTTAGCAAGACACTCTAGTTAAAACAGCTTTTTGTGATCTTGAAGAGTATGTCCATCGCTTTTCACATCGGTATTTTTTGACATCATGTGACCCCCTGAAGTCACGTGGGCTCCGATTTTAGGTTAAAAAATGAAATGTCAAATTTAACCAAAAAGTGCAAGGGCAAGACAAACAAACAATTAACTGCACAATGTTTTATGTTGTCTCTATGTATCTATATTTTCTCAAAAGTGATGCTCATTCAGTTAGTTTTCCGATATAATTAAGTTATTCAGCTAAAACAGACAGTAATGTATGAAAAATAGAATATTTTCCTAATTTCATCACGAATTATAAATTAACTAAAGGATTACAAAGTAATGAGCATCACTTTTTAAAAACTATACAATAAAATAAATAATTTAAAATAAAAACCTACTTTTTAGATTGTCGCCTTGCCCTTGAACGTTTTGATTAAAAAATGAAATCTTGGAAGAGTCAATCTAATTATAGTTTTCAAACACATCACTGTCCCAGCATGGGAGATAACTCTGGAGTACTTGATATAGTTTGTTTACCTCGTATATTTAAAATAAATATACATGCGGGCAGGACTTGACTTTTTTTTTAGCTTAATCAAACGGTATGCATAAAAATCCTTGACATTTCTTTCTTTTCTGTGTATTCGTTCTCCATACGTTGTATACATTTAATGTCTTTCAAACCTCCCGCATTTCCTCAACGATGTGTATATATACACGTAGTATTACACACAAATAGGTATAAATATTGCCGATATATTTATGTAGAACACAAATGGTTAATTAAAATATAGCCTTCATTAATAATTAATTAGATATCTATTCCCCTCTCTCACTACTGTACGCATAGGCCTCGGAACCGGGGGGGGGGGGGGGGGGGGGGGTAGCCTCCCTAGATCCCTACTTATTTGCAAATTATATACATAATGTAGGCATTGGAATTTGCCTTTTCCTTTTGGCTTAGCCCCCCCCCACCCCCTTTCAATCAGCCCCCTTTCATTTTGCTTCCGACGCCTATGGTACACACACGTGTTAATATTTTTTTTTCTTTCTGCATACGAGGTCATGTTCTACGATCGCTTTCAATCAGACCGCTTACTGTTAATTAAGGGATATAAACTAAGTTATAAGTTTAAGGTACTAATTAGAAAGAATTGGGGTATACCCCTGTATTTGTTAAGGGGACAGCTATTTTATTTTGAGGGTGAGGGACTGGCAGATTTTAAAAATAAATACTTGCAGATCAGTGATCTCCCCCTCCCACGAATGAGAGTTTGTTTTTTTTTTTTTACATTTTAAAAAAAAAAAAATTTGCATGTAGTATTTTTAATGAAGAGGAAAATAAATAATCTGTCCTTCATCTTATTGATCGGAAATAAATATTAATCTGTCCTTCATTGACATGAAAATGAAAAAAAAAAATCTGACTGAAAAACTCGCCTGCCCCCCCCCCCCCCCCTCCCTCAGAACAAATGGTGGTCCCCTATCCTATTTTGAATCAATTAGGGGGATCTCTAGTCTCCTGTTTTTGGTAATATTATTGAAAGATAAATGAACACAATGCACATGCTGGAAATAAGATCTTGATGATCATTAGTACCCTCCACACAAAATAGTAAGAAAGTTAAGATTTTCATATCTTAATGGAGTTTTCATTATCTGTACATTAAATATATGAAAAAGTCAAATTATTATTCATCTAGAAAATTTATTTAATAAACATTTCTTTTCAAATCCAATGACAGACTGTAGGAATGCTGGGCAGGTGCAAATTATTTCCATCACCTCATGTTCTTGTGGATAAAATGAATTCTGAAAATAGGAGAAAATCAGGAAATACCTTATTGAAAGTAATTTGTGTTTTAAAATTGAAGTAAAAAATGCATGGAAACATTTAACATTGAATTTACATATTACATGTGTAATGTGAAGCGGTCACCCATCCAAAGGTTAAACAGGCTCGCCGTTGCTTAACTTGCGTGAAATAGAGGGAGACTTTACCGCATCACCAGAAAAGCTAGCTCACTGGCGAGGCAGTATAAGTTCCCTATATACTGTCCGCTACAGAAAATGTCTTTTGTGTAAAAATGATCTTGGTGATGAATTCCACTATATTTTATGTTGTGAAAAATTAAAAGTTGAAAATTGTATATCCCGAAATATTATTTTACAAGACCAAATATTATCAAATTTAATGAATTGTTTTCTTCCAAAAATGTTGGACTATTGAGTAAACTTTGTTCTTTTATTAAAATTATAAACGAGAGAGTCAAACCTCCAGGTTAACATCAATGTAAACAATTATTATAATATGGAAATACTTGATTATAAGCACACTTTGTATATATGTTATATGTTACGCTCATGCATGTATGTATATATGTTATATTGATATGTATTGATCTCTATGTTGTTAAATAACAACAAAAGAGATGTTAATAAACTAGTAAACTGCTACACATGTTTTCAATTCTTCTGTTAGTTTTATTATCAAAACTTTGTATGGTTTATAGCTTATATTGAGCATACCATTTTCCTTAAATGATGGATTAACTTGCTGCCTGAATGAATCCATTTGTCCAACATCTGGGAGTAGCTAGGCCTACAACACAATATATATGCAGTTATATGCTATGAGATTACTAAATATACATTGTAGGATAAAATGGCATTACATTTGACAAAACAAATTATGCTACATTGTATATTGTAGTGAATTTATGTTATTGATTTAAATGAAAAAAAAATGTGTTACAAAACTTCTCTTGGAAAGTGAAACCTCTGACATTTACATAGTTATTGATAGAATATTTTCTATAAAAAAAATTCTAAGTTTCTTCTTTACCAAAATGAACAAGATGTGTTTGTGAAACACTGATGCCCCCGTAAACATAGCAAAGATTAAGCTTTTCATAAATGCAAATTTAACTAAATAGTACCAAAAGTAGGGTATTCTCACTGGAAAACAATTGTGAAATTTAAAAGTAACGAAATGTTAAAGTTTTTTTTTTTAAATAAGTACAAAAATCTCCAAGGTCAAGGTCAAAAGGTCAATGTAATTAGTATCAAATGAAATGTCTTGCCACATAGAATACTTATGTTGAGCATGAAAGCCCTAGTCCTAACCATTCAGAAGTTATGGCCAACGTTCATTTTTTTTTTAAAAGTAGGTCAAACTCCAAGGTCAAGGTCATCGTTCTTGTCATTAAATGAAAGGTCTTGTCATAAGAATCAAATGTGTAAAGTATGAAAGCACTAGCCCTAACTCTTTAAAAGTTATGGTCAAGGTTTGCTTTTTTAAAGTAGGTCAATCTCAAAGGTCAAGGTCAGAGGGTCTAAGTTCTTGGTAACCAACGAAGGGTCTTCTCACAAGGATTACATATATGAAGTATGAAAGCCCTATTACTTACCGTTCAAAAGTTAGGTTAAAGGTTAAAGTTTTTTCACAAGTACGGAAATCTACAAGGTCAAGGTCAAAGGGTCAAGATTGTTGGTATCCAATGAAAGGTCTTTCAACAAACATTAAATATGTGAAGTATGAATGTCCTGGTATCTACTGTTCAAAAGATATGACCAAAGTAAAAGTTTAAAATTTTCATGTTAAAGTGGGTCAAACTCCAAGGTCAAGGTCAAAAGGTCAAATTTGATGGTACACCAACGAAGGGTCTTCTCACAAGGATTATATATATGAAGTATGAAAGTCCTATTACTTATCGTTCAAAAGTTATGGCCAAGGTTAAAGTTTTTTCTCAAGTACGGAAATCTACAAGGTCAAGGTCAAAGGGTCAAGGTTGTTGGTATCCAATGAAAGGTCTTTCAACAAACATTAGATATGTGAAGTTTAAATGTCCTGGTATCTACTTTTCAAAAGATATGGCCAAAGAAAAAGTTTAAAATTTTCATGTAAAAGTGGGTCAAACTCCAAGGTCAAGGTCAAAAGGTCAAATTTGGTGGTACCCTAAGAAAGGTCTTGTCACAAGGAATATACATATGAAATATGAAAGTCATAGCTCCACCAAATCAAAAGTTATGGACAAGGTTAATGTTTTTTGCGGACAAACAGACAAACAGAGAGACAGACAGACAGAGAGACAGACAGACAGACAGACAGACGGACACGACAAAAACTATATACCCCCGAAACTTCGTTACGGGGGCATAAAAAAAAACAATATGTAAAGCACATGCAAACTTTGAAAATGTGAAATGCTTTAGAAGTTTACATACCCTGTGGAGTAATGATGCATTTTTTATTTATTCACTCTTTAAGGTCAAGATCTAGTAAATAACTTTAGACAATTTTTTTGGTGCTAGATCCATTATGACGTCATAATCAATTTCAACTTTCTTTTTCCCGTACTTTACGGCATTAGCAGAATTATGTAGAAGATAGGGTATTTTCATGACATTCAATTTGAAATCGTGTGAAAATTAAACCGGATACCCATATTAAATTTGATATTAATTTAAAGAAGAGGCCATGAACATACTAATTGTCGTTTCCTGAGAGACTGTAGGCAATCTGGATACATTTCCTTTGTCAGATATGAAAAAAAACTCCCATATTCATGACTGGTTTTCTCAATTTTTCATTGAAAATGACAGTTTAAAATACAGTTTTTCATCTTATTTACCTACAAATTATGCCCCGAAACACCTTATTTGACCAAGCTTAAGTCGTAAAGCATAAATTAGGGAATTTATTTCTCAAGTTTGATAAATCTGTAGGCACCTTTCATTTACTAGATCTTGACCTTAAGCCTGAAACTCTGGACAGCTACAATGATAAAAGTATTATATAAATATTTTTAATGTACATGTAATCTAAACAAAAAATGATTTTTTTTTCATTAATTTAGAAATTGTAGAAAATTACAACCATAGATCTGAAGTTGGGCTTTTATGTTTTCCACACAATGTTACGGATATTTTTTTTAAAATTGTGTAGCATATTTGTATGTCAGAATACATCATTGTTTGTTTAGGCCTAGTCACTAGTGAATCATTGACTGAAACAATGAAAACATCTCATTCAATTTAGTTTAAATTTGTGTTACTGATGATCTCCGTTATTACACATATTGTCTCAAAGAAAATGAGCTAATTGACAGGAACTCAGTACATATTTAGTGCAATTAATTTTTAATAATTCTAAAAAGTGTGCAACTTAGTATTGGGGGGGGGGGGTTGTTACACACAAGGCAGTGCATATTTACAGTTTTTCACTGACTGTACTAATGCATTTTAATGAACATGAACACACTCGCTTTATTTTATGTTAACAAAAGCATGTCTACATATTGTAGATCTACACATGTACCTTCATATGGGTATACATACCTGGCCTGGAATTACAGTGCAGTGATTGATCTACGGAGCTAGAGCTGGTGCAAATCGTCTCAGTTTTCTGCTATTTTCCGAAATAATGTCCTTATATTCTTGTAAAATGGTGAAGCAATGCCTTGTCTCTTCTTTTATCCCTATTTTCTTTAAAGACTGTGTGGTTATTGCATTTAAATCCACTGCAAATCTCAGCTGATGTCGCCACCTTTTTAGATGTAAACAACATCCGTGTCACCGAGTGCAAGCGCTTGGCTGAAGCCGAATGCAGACAAACGACACATTAAAAAGAGAATTATTTTAAAGACATGCTATTCTATATACGAGAAAATCACAAATTATTTTCTATTTAAACATGAAGATATTGTTGTTTATTACAAAGTGTTGCCAATATCGGTAAATAGTTATTTTGAGCAATATTTCCTTATATGGATCAATCAGGGTGGAGCAACTGTCATGACGTCAGACCTCATTATGACTTCATTACCATATTTTTTTCATGTGTTGCCTTAACTGTACTGCGATTTAAATCCATATTAGACAGAATTGCCGATTTTCAGTGTAAGTCTAACTGCATCAGTGATTCGCCGAGTATAATTATCTGAGGAGAATTAATTAAAATATTAATCTTATACATTTTTTTTTTTTAATTTTACTCCAGCCTGAAAGTTCATAATTATATGTTTTAAATTTCTTACAAAATAATTAATTAGTAAAATCAGGCACCTGATATGAACTACATATGAATGCATACTTAGGGCAAAAACGGTCGTGTATCTGATTCAGCAATTGAAATGGGCAAAATTAAAATCGAAATTAAGTCAAGACAACCAGGGAATTAGTTTAAACATCTGTATAGTTAAATTACGAATATTTAAGTACAACAAACTTTTTCTTTAAAGTTTATTCTTAAATAAAGAAAATGAAAACATTTATTATCAGTTCCGTAATGGGGAACTGTTATATACCGTGTTACACGGTGTCCACAATCGCTGACTTCAAAGATGCCGACATCGAGTTCAAGGTTCACGGTGCCCGTGTTTTGCGGGAAAAACTCGTGGCCTGTACTGTACCTTTGATCACAAACACAACGAGTTGATCTAATTTATAGCAAATAAGTAATCAATGTAAACTCTGTCTAGTTGTTTTGAATTTTCACAGTTGAAAGCCCAAATGCATGTTACTTGATAATGGTGTTTCAAATAGCTAGACATAACCTCCGTCCTCTTTCACGGGCGCAATTGAGAGAAATAAACCAAATGTGGTCAAAGCACAGTTCGAAAATCATTGGGGCGTGGTTTGCATAATTAACCAAAGAACGGTACGGTTCGTTTCCTGCACAGAACGGTACGCTTTGTGGACGGTACGGTACGCTTTGTGCACGGAACGGTTCGCTTTGTGCACGGTACGGTACGCTTTGTACACGGAACGGTTCGCTTTGTGGAAGGTACGGTACGCTCTGAGAACGGAACGGTTCGCTTTGTTCACGGTACGGTACGCTTTGTGCACGGAACGGTACGGTTCGTTTCTGAGGTGTAGTAGCACGGTTTAGGGTCTGTAACAATGTACATGGAAAGGCTGGAAGTCTCCCCAACTTTTTGTTGCAGTAAGGTCAAATAGGAGTACATCTAATGTATTATATATGAAAAAGAAATTGGTATTGAAAATAAAAAATTGCCAATTCCCCCGAATTTCATATTTTTTATACAGGTTTACTTTTTTTGGTTTGTCAGGCAGGAAGGTTATTTTTTATATGATCCCCCTCCTTTCCCACCTCCTACACTTTAAGACACAATGTTACGTCACTGAGAAGGAGATAGTTGGAGGAAGAACCTAAATAGGAGAGAGACAACAAAGGAGAGAGAGAGAGAAAAGAAAGAATGAGAGAGGTAAGAAAGAATGAGAGAGAAAAAAAGAATGAGAGAGAGAAGAAAGAAAAAGAGGGAGAGAGAGAAAAAAGAATGAGAGAGGGAGAGAGAGAAGAAAGAATGAGAGAAAAGAAAGAATGAGTGTGGTAAGAAAGAATGAGAGAGAAGAAAGAATGAGAGGGAAAAGAAAGAATGAAAGAGAGAGATAGAGGAGTCAGTCGTCAATGATAGATTCTGGTTGTCAGACGGCCGACATATTAAACACCGCTCTATAAATGACCACGATTCATTCAATAAGAGTACAAGAATAGATAAAGTATGATCAGAGATCCCAACAAAAGGAACTTAATAAGCGTTTCGTGAAGAGAGAGAGAGAGAAAGAGATAGGGAGAGAGAGAGAGAGGGGGAGAGACAGAGAGAGTGCGGGGTTATAATGAAAGATACGGTATAACGAAGTGATTCGGAAATCTTTACTTTGTGAAGAAAGAAAGGACATTTTTAGCGTAATGATATATTATATGAGATATATTAAGAGTCAATAGGAAGATAAATATACGCTTACTGTTTTGTTCCTGACATCAGATTTTCTCGTGAACATTTTTATACATGTATATAATGGATAAAAAAAATATAATAAAGCATGCTTTTTATTTCCTAAAATGTTACCTTTTGTATAACTCACGTACCTAACGTACTTTACATGATAACAGATAAACTGACTTAATTTTTTTTATTTCAACTTAATTTCTACTTGTTCAGTTTTAAAAATGATGTCCTTTCATTTTTTCTTAACTTTCAAGAGATTTTTTTCACACAAAACTGTGTTGAATCTTACCCAGGAGCTTTATGCCAGTGGAACTTTAGGTCAGTGTATTCACGTTAAGTTCTTAAAATTAGGTTCAAATTACGTATATCATCATAATTATTCTTTTCTTTATTGGCAGGTTAAAAAGTTGTTGAAAAAAGAGAAAGATGTGTTTTTTTCTGATTTTCTGTATACGTTTTTGATTCCACGCTAATTAAATATGTTTGATATTTAAGAATGTCACTTGCAGGTACCATTCACGTATTCAGCAGATATTAAATTTGTTATTGTCAAGTTGATAAAATTTCTAATTATACATCTTATGTACATGAAAAGTTATCTTTTTTTTTTAAATAAACAAATCCAATAATTACATTTGTTTAACATTGTTATTCAGCTTGGGTTTCCTGATAATTTTTGATAATTCACATTTCAACTACATGTAATACGGAAAAAGTTTACACAGCATGACGCAATTATGATAAGGCTGTCCGAAGGCTTAAAATGGACATTTTTGATATTCTTAAATGTTGTACAAGAATCGCATCGGCACAAGTGCATAACACAATTATTGTGCAAAGATTGTTATATAGATTTATTCATCGTGATACATGGTACTTAAAAAGTGCTGGGGGCAGGTTTAATTTTTTTCTTCTTAAGAAAATATTTTACGGTAAAATAAAATTACCAACGTAAGAAGGGGTATTTTCCGCTCTTTATCGCGATTTATACAAAAACGGATAAAAATACATACGATTCCCCAGCAAAATTCAGTTAGAAGACATACTTCTCTTTTAGATTCACGCAGAATATCTTCAATTTATCCTTGTCTTTCACTTGTGCCAGTCCAATATCAACACGATTCATAAATTCTAACTCTGTCTACGGAAGTGTAAGGGGAGCGTTTCAAACATAATTTTTTGCTATTGCTTGAATATATGCATATCGGACAAGCAAAAGGATTAGAGATATTTAAATATTAAATGTAAAACATTATAACAGCATACACAAGCTTAAAAAACAAACCTTACTCTTGAATTAAACACAAATCCCCATAATAAATCTACATGCCCCTGTAATAATTATGACACTTTCCTCGATATGTCAGCTCAAGTATGCAGTGACTTGAAGTCATATTCTATTATGATGTCATATCTAGGTAGTTCAGAGAAGTTACTACAGTTTGAACAGTTTGATATTTTACGGGCAGCCTTATCCTAGCTGCGATAGTCTGATTTTCAATGAATTACATTTTTTACTACTATGGAATAGAAAGATTACAATGCGTCATTAATATTAAATGTCGAAAGGTTTACGAAAATTTGATGATAAAAAAATTTGATCAGATAAATATTCAAATAAAAAAGCTTAAAAGCCAAATTTTAAAGACGTTAACCCGTTTCACATTTCCATTTATTTAATAGGAAATATACCATCTGAAAACATTCACAGATACACCATATCTTATCTCGTTTTTAATGATTTACTTAGTATTGCATGTTATACATGTTTAAATGCACGGTCTCGGAAAAATATTAAAATTTCATTTTGTGATGTTTTATAAAAGCTTAAAAGTGTAACACGTCTGTTGTTTATTGTTACACTAGAAAGGAGGCTATGTGAATTGAGCAGTGTTTTGTCTTGAATTATTTTTATCTCTCTTTACAGGAAACAACACGTCAAACTGTATATCTCAGACGTACATCAGTATTAAAATTAAATATTATCACTCTTTCCAGCACCTAAAGCTGTCTATCTTAGAATTACCTCAGTATTATCAATGACAATTAGTTTAAAGATATAAAAATCAGTTAACTCTGTGATTCCTTTTGTTTAACTTTACAGGTGACTCTATGTTAGACACAGGTTACCCCAAAAACGATCTGTACTTCAGTACCCCAGACAGGGACAATGACAGGTGGAGTGATGGTAATTGTGCTGCTCTCTTCAGAGGAGGCTTGTGGTTTAACTGGTGTAACCGAGCCTTCCTTAACGGTCCCTGGTCTTCGGAGTCCTGGGTGTACCCATGGAAACCCATAGTAACGAGTGGGACATCAGTGAAGGGGACCACCATGATGATCAGACGTCACTAGGTAAACCTCATTAAACCTTAATTACCAGGTTTTGTATTTTTGTATTTCTGTAAAAATTTCAGTTATAAATGTTTTTTTTTTTAAATAGAACAATATTATATTATATTTGTGAAGCATTAATTTAATCCTTTTTTTTCACAGATGAAAGACCATCCGTAATCCAAGAGACGACTTAAGATTAATGTTTATCGCGGTTTTATTTTTTTAAAT